TCCATTGTATAATGCTTGATCAGAGTGGAGGAGCCCTTTCTTTGACACCAAATTGCTGAAGTATTTTGTGTCGAAAGAAGCAGGCGTGGGATCTAGAGGAGCAAGATTAGAGTCACCTCCATTGGGAGGACAAGTAGCTCGACGTTGACGAGCAAAGTTGGGATCAATGTTGCTTTCGTTGTAAATATGGTTTTTAAAGAGACGACATTGAGACAACCCTAGGGTGTGGCCACCGGAGAGGGCTACGAGGTCTTTCATGTTCAGGCCTTGTTTCTTGAACGAGTTGATAAGTTCCGGTAAATCCATGGATGGTGAAGGGATGTCATCGTTGGCTTTAGATTCGCTAGCCATCGTTGAGTCTCTCCTCCCGAGTCGAACCTCCCAACTCGGTCCCCCTAACTGCACTCAAAGAAACAATTTTCCTAGTTAAATATAATTTCGATAACATTCGTCAAATTTATAAATCAATAAGGTAGAATAATAGTCGATCTCACAAATGTGCTGATAATAATGAGAAATAGTCATGAATGTACGGATATCGAACATGTTAAATAATACGTACTGCAACTACGGAATCACGTGCTGCAACCGCCAAAATGTCAGCACAAGACACTGCCGGACAGCCGCAAACCTTATCAACCTCGTACTTGATTCTATCAATGACTTCAAATCCTCTAGCAGAATTGGCATTGGGCACTGCATTCTTTTCGCTAGTGAAAGCAGACGTCGAGTCTAGAAGAATAGAAGCATCACAGCCCTGCAAAAACACCCCAAAAAAAAAAAAAAAAAAAAAAAAAAACCAAACAAAACAAAGGCCATTACTGAAACAAATCACCAAAATACTAGAAAACAATGACAAATTTTCGACCATATTACGTTAACGAAACAGTCATGGAAATGAAGACGGAGTAAAGAAGCCCCCATGCGTCTCTCTTGCTTTACAGCAGCACCCACAACCCGTTTAATGGTTGGCAAAGCTTGTGGGCACACTTTGGCGTAGAAGTAAGGGTTAAGAGAAGCAGAAAAACCCATAAATGAAAGATTAAACATGACCAGGACGGCAATACAGAAACTATATGAACCCATTTCGATGAACTCTAATGCAGAGAGCTAAGATAATTATCTAATTGTGGGATGATTTGAGAATTAACATAGAACCCTATTTATAGGGCATGCATGATGGAGAAGATCCATATTAAGACTGGGACAACACGAAGGGTTTAAATTGCCGCTTTAAGACTGGGACAACACGAAGATCCATATTAAGACTGGTTTAAATTGCCGCTTTAATTTTCTAAACTGAAACTCCTTTTTTTCTCGCCTCTGACTGTGTATCATTTTAAAACACGAAGGTAAGTTTTGCAAGAAATTGAAAGAGTCATATGAAATTGCTGTCCTTTTCATTTATAAATTGCATCAATATAATCACATTTAAGAACTATGGATTGGTTGGTTTTGTCATAGATATTTAATCTATAATTGAAATGGTTCCTTTCATTTATGAACTAAGGTTGAATTGATCTAATCATCGCATAATTTTCCCCGATGCTTGAGGTTAAAAACTTGCAGTCTTTTACTCTAAAACTCATTGCAACTAATTCAATTCTGTGTACAGTCAGGGAGAATTAGCTCCAATTATCTAGAAATTGGTATCTTTAAACCCCAAGGGAAAAAAACTTCTTGTTAGATCCAAATTCCAGGGGGAAAAATTATTGTAATTTTTGTTGGAAAAATTGGTTTAATTAGTTTGTTTGACCAACTTTTGACCAATTAATTTAGTGGGTCCCGTTAATCGGAAATAAGATTTCTTTGGCCAAATGTGTTCTACTCCATGAGTAGATTAATATGGTATATTTATTTTCTCAAAACCAATTTAAGGTGAATGAGAAATTAAGGCCAAAAGATGCCCACTTGATGTTGAAATAAAATAGGTGGGAAATTGGAAAATACCAATCCCACATAGGAAAACTAGAAGAATATAAACCACCTTATATAGCTCAAGTTTGGGACTTGGGTTTGGGCTCCAAGGGGTACCAATAGTCTTTGAAGGGGAGAGAACCTACATGTTAGTAGGTCAAGCCAAAGCCCACACGCGCGCGCCGCCGCCGCCGTTCGACCGTCCGGCTCGGCATGTCACGTCACGGGTCGTGGGCTTGGGCTTGGGCCAAGCTAATATATATTTTTTGGTAAATAACATTTAATTATATTATTTTTTATTGTTATAATAATAATATATTTTATGTTATTAATTATTTTTTTTCCTTCCCCGAATTTTCTGTGTGTGACACGTGGTACGGAGCTTCTAGAAGTTAGCGGGTTGACTGTCCAAATGACGGTTGACTGTCCAAGTGACAGTTGACTGTCCAAAGTGGCGGTTGACTGTCCAAACAGTTTGTGTCTTTTGGACACAACTTTTCGGCAGTTGTGTTTGTTGGGACACAACCTTTCAACATCTATAAATAGACCCCCATACCCCGGTTTTTATTCATTTCAAAAATCAGAATTGATTTTCTACTCTTCCGAAATTATCCCGTTCTCCCTGCATAATTTCTGTCTTTATAATTCAGTCCTCGAAAATTATTTTTCGTGCATTTCACTCATCCAGTGTGTGTGGAAAGATCTAAATTTTACGAGTTCGTCGGGTCTTGTAATTTGGAGTACTACTATTACAAGACGAGGTCGTTGTATCTTGGGAAGCGAGTGCTGCAATACCGTTAGTACCAATGCGGGGCATTATCGTTTTAAGGAGAAAGAATCGAACTCTTGCCTCGACCGTTCAAAACCATCCAAACGTCGTTACTCTGCCCAAATAGAAATTACGGTAATACTATTATTTGCTATTATATTTCAACAATTTTAACCTTGAAAACAAAATATGAGTGTTTTTCTTTATATTCAACGGGCAAACTTTTGGATAATGTATTATTAAACATTGTATTAGAGTATACGCCAAGATCCTGCTTTGAATTCTTACTGTTGTGTCTATATATTTCAGCCGCTAAGTATTTGACTAGATACTAAATTGAGTTTGACTATGAAGAAAGTGTTGAATATTAAGAATAGACAAATAAAACTTAATCCATCTATATCTTATAATTTCAGCTCTTACATGATAACAACTATTTTTACATAAATAGCATCAATATATATTTTTTATTTTTTTATAAACTTCGATATCAAACACAATGTTCCGCAATTGGCACTTTTCAACGTATTACACTCCTTTACATCAACCAAAAAAATTGAAGAAAAGTGTAAAAAGAAAATGTTAATTGTCTACGTCAACAACATTCATAAATCTCACGATTCTTTAAGAAATAATAATAATAAAATCCTTATTTTAGAATTTATGACCAAAGAAAGAAGTAATATGTATTTGAAGAAATTTATATAAATGGGAGTTTTCATCCTACTATAGTAACCAAATGCAAAGACTATTGAGGCATTTCGGCGTAAGGCTAATTCAAATGGACATGGTCAATAGAATTCCCATGAAAGGAAGCGGTTTATTGATAAACACTTTATATTACCTAATCAGTTTACTTCAACTCCAAGAAAAGACTTTTATATATTTCATTCATACCAGTTTTTCAATGCGAAAACCAAAAAACTAATTAATTGTTGAACGAATGTCAATATATAATTACTCTCCGCAAATTAAATTGTATTAATGCAGCTGGTCACTAATTAAAATTAGGAGTTGAGGTCAGAGAAGTAGTCCATTAGTTTTATCTTTGAATTACTAATCATCAAGGAAGCGAAAATGTCGTCTTATAAATTACGAGGTTAAGAATGTTAGATTATTTTTTTAGTCAGTCAAATTTACAAATAATTACAATGCATGTAGGTTGTAATTATCTTTGAATATAGTATAACGTTTACTTATATATTATATTTTACGTAATGGTTACAAAAACCTCCATTTGTTGCCAAATTCACAAATATGCAATTATAAATAGCTAAACAAACTAAAATATCCTTAATTAAAATAACAAATTACACGATATATATTACCTTAATCACGATTCCCATACCATTTTCTAAATATTGATTTTTCATTAAATATTTTCTTTCCTAAAAAATATAAATTTCTTGTGAGATTCATAAAATGTATTATTTTTCTTTTCATTAGCTCTGATATCAAACCAATAAAAATCAGTTTTAGTAAGTTAATAATTGAAATATATAGAAAATATTTTATTTAACTCTTCCAACATTGTAAAATGAAATCAAAATTATTAAATTTCTATCTTCTAATTACTAATTTTTTTTTTCAGATGAATAAATTAAAAACGGTCAGTTAAAATGATTTTTAATATTAGTTGTATTTTTTTATAGATAAAAATTAATTTCTTATTCATTTTAAGTTGAGTAATTTTGCAACTTAAAAAATGTCAAGTATGCATTTGTATTTGTTGATATATATTGTGGATGATTTTATTTTTTATTTGTTGCAAGCAAGCTTCATAAAAGAGAAGATATATATATATATATATATATATAAAGGTGTAGTGAAAAGACTTTTACTAGATGTTTGTTAATTTATGAAGGCATATATGAATGAGGGGGGAAAAATAACAAAACAAAACAAAACTATTAAAAGAATCGGTACGAAAGTGTCACCTAATGTATTACAAAGGGTGTAATTTATTGTTTTTGATTATGAAAACTATAGTCTATTTAACCATTTTTAGGGGGAGATTTGTGATTTTTAAGCAAAAGTTTAATTTTTATTACCATAATAAAAATAAATTACGTAAAGTGTAAATTTATAAAATGTTGTATGTAACCCATTATTTTGAGTGTATTTTATAAACTTTCCTTTATGTAAATTGATTATGCTACGGATGTCCTCTCTTTTTCCCTGTGGGTTATAAGAAAAACAAATTATTTAGAGCATAAGCAAGAGCTATTTTCTTTTTGGGACAGTTATTTTCACTCACAATTCTTTTACATCTAGTCACTCTAAGCCCCTGTTTGACATTTTTATTTATTTATTTGGAAAGAATGATTTTTTGAATAGTAAATTTTGGGGGAATCTGTGGTTAAAAAATAAGAAAAAATTTTGAATTTACATAAAAAATTATTTCATTGTGAAAATGTACGGTTAAAAATGAGTAAAACAAAAAAAAATGAAGAAGAAAGAATGAGAAAGAATGACCGTCAAATAATGAAAAATTGAATCTCTATTGAAATTTAAAAAATTTTAACACAATATATAGCTTTTTTTCATATCTATCACACTCTAAATCAATCTCTATTACAATTTCAAAATTTTAAAAAGCACTATATTCATCTCAATTACATTTCAAATTACTCTCATTAAATTCATTCATTTAAACACTATTTATTAACAAAGTTTAACCAAAAATAAATTACTTTAGTCAAAAACAAAAGAATATATATAACATTATCAACATCTGAAAACAAAAAAATGCTAATATATTATGCTAATTTGCAACAGATTACTCTACTTACCTCTAGAGACGATTAAGGCAAAAGTTAAGGTTTGTTCCCTCACATGATAACAATAAATAGCATAGGATTGCCTGGATTCGAATCCCCGCGACAACTGGGAGGCAACATTTATATTGGAAGGCAGATGTCTTGTGGAGGCAAGGTTATGATATGCTTTGTCACCTCTTCGAGGGTCCTGTCTGCACGTTGTAAAGGAAAGTCCATAGGAAGAAGAACGGCATCCCAAATATTTGGCCCAATTGTGTATAAGCTGTGACCGCATCCGAATTTATTCTAGTGGCAAATCAGGGGAAAAGCCGTCACTCCTCCAAATTAGTCGGTCGATGCTCGGACACCTGAGTCATCAAAAAAATAGCATAGGATTTAATAAATTTTTGCAATTACAAAAAATTCCAATCGCCTCATTTGCATCTCGTCTCCTCATCATATTTTGTCTAAAATATGTTGGGACAAAAGATTATCACTATCCAAAAAATAAGAAAATAAAAAATAAAGAAGGTATAGAAGCTCCAAAGTTTGGTATCAGAGCTTGGGTGGCAAAAAAGGCTCAAAATCGGCTGATTTTCGCACTTTCAACTTAGAACCCGAATCTGAAAATTTTCAATTACTCACAAACCAGAGCTCGGTTGGACAAACGGAGGCCATACCCATCATCAGCAGGCCAAGGCGCTCCGGGACAGGCGGCAATAAACATATTACTTAATTGTAACAAAATATGCAAGATGT